TCCTCGCCCTGGCTCCAAGTTCCTAATCCCTGCACTCCCCTGGATCAGAGCCGATCCCTCCCTCAGGGACCACAGAGGGGTCCTCTGACCTCCAGCTACAGACCTCCACTCTCCCCTCCTCCACACCACACCTGAGAGACCCTTCTAGAAGTGCAGAAGATGCGGAGAAAAGGAGGAGGCAGCATAGCTATGGAAACAGAAACTGGATTGATTCATCCAGTATTTGATCATTTTTGTTTCACAAGACTGTCATTGTCTTAAGGCTTTGATGCATCTTTTTATAAGCCCAAGACATATCTATGTACAAATTATCACATAAACTAGATTTCTTTTCACCTTGTTAAAGTTTGAAATTAATAATACTTGATAAAGTACTTGCTATTTTCAAAAATAAATGAAAGTGCAGCTCTAATCACATCACCCCCAACTTTAAAGTTGGAAAGGACTTTCCACGGCCAAATTCTACATCTATCTTCAGGCCAAGAGCCTAGGTGGGACCCTCCTCGCAGGTGAAGGCATGGTGACTGCAAGGGCTTGTCCAGCAGGCCTGGCTGGGGGCCACTGCCCACAGCTGCCCCAGGCGGCCCCATGGCTGCTCTCTGAAGGGAGCATGGTCTAGGGCTCGTGGCACCTCTACCTGAGATCTTCTCCTTGGGGCCTCCATTGAGGCACTTTTCCCCACCTGCCAGCCCTTCCCTCTCCTTTCCTCCCTCCTCAGTCTCCCAGATTCTGTCCAGGGCTCCTGGCAGAGTCCTGTCCCACCCTCTGTGCTGCTGCCGGGCCTCTCCTGCTGCTCCCATGCTCAAGAAAGGATTTTGCATTTGGCTTTGTCTTTCTGGTGGTCGGCGCTTTAAAGACACTTGAAAAGTCAATGTGGCAATCTGAGCAGAGTCTGTGCAGATCATGCACTCATCAAGGGGCTGGCACACTTGACTGGTGATTTCTAAAGCTTGGTCATCTCAAACTTCCTGGACCACCAGCCTGTGGGGTAAGAGGGTCAGATGTCCCAAAAGCAACTGGAGTGTCTCATGCCCCCTCTGAAATACTGGAGCGACCCTAGAATTTGTATCTGGGCCAGGTATTGTTACTTACTGACACTCATTTAAAACTTTAATAAAGATACAGAAACATCCTGCCTAATGTCAATACATGTAAAGTCTAATTTTATTTTTAAAGATAATAAAAACCATCCACAGCATCTCCTCTGATAATTGTATAGTATGGAAATGGATAGAATACAGAAGCCAGGCTTTGATTGAATGAAAACCAATGTTTATTCTAAGAGTTAATTTCAAAATTATATCATGTAAATGACTAATATTCTCTATTGGATATAGTTCAAAATGTGCCAAATAATGGATTTCTTCCCAGACTGCTTATAAATTTGTTTAAGCATGAAAAAGCTGAATTTTATTTGGCAGGGGTGATGTGTATTTGGCTTGCAGCTAATAACAGGCAGCCATTTACTAATGTCAGCAAATATTTTCTAATTTCTTAACAAATTTTCAAGATTAAATTACAACTGGAAAGCTTTGATTTTATCTGCTGTGAGCCAAAATTTGGAAATGAAAATAACACAATCCTTGCTTATAAGGAGTAAATGTGCATAATGACAAGTAAATGGAAAGTCTATTTGAAGAATTGGATTTGATTTTTTTCCCTATGTGATGAGTAACTACTCACCAGATCACCAGTAAATAGGAGAAATAGCTAGTATCTGTTTGCTATTAATCCAGGGAAAGGAAAGAAATGTTTGTGGAGCTGAGAAAATCTTACACACATTATGGTCACAACAGTTTAATCCCTGTTTTTCATTTGTTCATCATGTTTATTGTTGTGAGCACCTAGTACAAGCACTTTGCTAGGAACTAGAGAATATAGTAGGAAACTGAAACAAATGAATTACAATTTAGTCTAAATAAAGAGAGGTAATAATCCAGTAATAGTGAAGAATGCTTAACCACAGAAAGGAAGGTGATTTTAGAGAGCATATTATAAAGATAGCTGGGTTTGTGTCAGGGAAGTCCTATCAGAGAAAATGATACCTGAGCTGGGTTTTCTGAAGGATGAATAGGAGTCTGTTAGGTGAAAAACATCAAACAGAAAAGGGAGCAAACAGAGCAACACCAGCATCGAGAGATAACACTGATGGTGCTGGGATACAGAGAGGTAGAGGGGATACATGTGGGTCTGTAAGCAGTGCAAAGCTGGACCAAGGAAGGCTCTGAGGGCCATTTGAAGGATTCTGGTCTTCTAAAATAACAAAGATGATCCATGGATTCAAACTGGAGCCTAATGCGATCAGGTTTGCATATTGAAAATGCCACCCGCCATCAAGCATGAGCATGAGAATGATGCAAACGCAAGAGAGATGACAGTGGTTTGGATGAAGGTAGCAGCCACATATAGAGTCAAGATATATTCAGAATCCTAGTCAGGAGGGCTTGGGTTTAGGTGGGTATGGAATTGTAGGAGCTTTGCCCAGCCAGATGGATGGTGGTACCATTGATTGAAATAAGTGACACCAAGAGGGGCCAGCACTGGGGGAAGGTGATAAGGGGCATGGATCTACCCAAAAGGAGTTAACAAGATGGCACTGGAGCTCAGGGAGAAATCAAAGTCTAAGAGGGCAGAAGAGAAAGATCAGGGAAAGGAAGTGAGTTTCTGGTCCATGTAGAAATACTTGGAAAGCAGTGACAGGAAATAAATGAGAAAAGTGGTTGTATAACAGAGTTGCATATAGTATAACAGTAAAAAATACTGTATAATGCTAATATTTGGAAAGTAGCAAGTGGTTTTGTGACTATTAGAATGGGTGAAAGCTAGATTTTAGTGAGTAAATGGTGTCAAGCCAAACAAATGATTGTGAACTCCTGGTCACTGGTCACTGAAACAAATTCCTGCCTTGTAGGAAGGTGTAGTTGACGGGGGTGGGGAAGCAGCTGGTGAAACTTGAATAACTTGATGAAAGAAACACCTGAGCTTATGAAGCTCTTTCCTGTCGAGATAACTCTTCAGCCTCCCTTCCCAAAACAAGTGTTAATCCACACCATCTTGAGTAGACACGTGAGCATGAGCCAAGACAGTTCAGTTTTTTTTACTTTACTTTTGTATAAAAGAACTGGGGTGTAGGCCAGAGTGTAGGGGGTGCAGAGATTCCCCAGAAACAGAGTGGGGAGCAGAACAGGCAGATCCAGTGAAATCCACTGCTGAGGGGAGCAGCGGGGAGACAGGAGAGGTCTGCTGCACCATGTGGGTAGCTCCCTGGCAGGGGATGGAACTCAGGCCATAGAGGTGATAGCCTGAGACTTAACCCCTAGGCCACCAGGGAGGCCCGTTAAGTTTGACCAGGAAAGGACGTTTGAGTAAATTCATGTTAAAGAAAATATATTAATTTTAATGAAGTTATGAGCCAATAGAGACATCTTTTACTTTATATAAAAGCAAATTTAATAAGGGATGCAAACCACAAATAAATGATAAATTTACTAGCATAGCACAAATGTTTCCAAAAAAGGAAAACAAAATGCTGATTTAGACCTCCAGTCTTTAGGCATAAAGAGCTATCTCAAGTCTTCAAAAGTTACACATTTGGGTTTTTATTTTATTCCATCTGAACTTTCCTTTGGTCTCTGGACTGCCAGCCCCCAAATCAAATAATTCTGAATTTCTACGCCCAGTGAAGTGGGACTCAGCTTTCCCTATGACACAGGGTCCTTAGAATTGGAGGGAGAAACGCAGGCCTGTTATCGTAGGACAAGACGAGTCACTGACTCCCCTCTTTGTCTCAGAACTTTCACTCTGTCCTGCACAGCAAGAATGTTATTGGAAAAGTGTGTGGGCATGGACTCTAGCAAAGTGTACAGATTTATGTAAGAAATTGCAAGTCCCAGTCACTTTTATACTTACAAGTCCTCAGGGTGTATGTGGGTGGGGAGAGGGGCAGTTAAAATCCATGTCTTAGAATCTGGATCTGAATCCCCGATCCTTGCTGGTTCTAGGACTTTTATTTTTTTCTTCCAATACCCTTCAGGATAAGACTATTCACTCTTAAACTGGTCCAGTAATAAAAGAAATTCACAAAACAACTCTAGACTTACATCAAAATCTTTATCAGTGTTCTCTCTACAAGAAGTTAATAAAAATTAAGAAAATAAAAATAAAGTGATATACTTTCTTAGATTTTCTCCAGTCCTAAGAATGATGCCCGGGATCAGTCTGAGGATATGTATTAAGAATCAAGTTGTTTAGGAATGAATAAATTGATAAAAGAGAATGACAACTTATGGAGGCCAAATATTTGGGGTATGAGGCCTAGAAGATAGTTACAACCATCTTCTTTAGGTCTCAATTTTGCCGAGAGGTGTTTTTTTCTTACAAAAAACATTCCAGGGCCTGTTCTAGGCATCCCAACTTCAAAGTCAAAACAGGGACAAGCATGAAAACATAAGACATGAATGTATCCCCATTTCATAGAAATGATCTTGAATGTAAATGCTATTTCAAATACCATATTTCAAAATTGAAATTCAGAATGCTGGGCCTCCCCGGTGGTGTAGCGGTTGAACGCTGGGCTGCGAAGCTGCCCACAGCCTCTGCAGCGCCGGTTAGAGCGCCGGTTAGATCCCCGGCCGCCAGCAAGTGTCCCACATGGTGCATAGACCTCCCCTGCTGTGCCCACTGCTCCCCTCAGCAATGTATTTTGTTGGTCTGTCTGTTCTGATCCCCTCTCTGACTCTGGTGAATTCTCTCACCCTCCCACGCTTCTGACTGTACCCAGTGCTTGTATAAATAAATAAATCTTTAAAAAAAAAAAAAAGAAATTCAGAATACTTTTTTTTGATGAACAGCCACGAAGAACATTCCAGGGTATTTATCAAGGGCAGTGATAACACCTCAAATCCATTTCTTGAATGTTGTGAATGAAGGAGCCAAAAGCAACTCAGCATAGGAAGTGCCATCGTGGGGTTGTCAGCCAGCCACAACCAGGTTCTCAGTACAAGCAGGAGACTCAGAAAATACAGCTTTAATTACAAACTTTATTTATCAATACAATTCACAGTTTATACATGGTGTAACCCACCATGGCAACTTTCAGAACAGTCACTGAAGAAATGGATGTAGCTTCCTTTCTATGAGAGCCTGACTTCCTAAGATTTTGGTTCAGATTCTTTTAAGTTTATAAAAGTACCTTCAACAAGTTAACTGAATATTTATACTTCTAGCTTAAATTTTGGAAAATAAGCATCTGTTAATTTTTTGTATTTTTTTAAGATCCTGGGTTGTTTTTTTTCCAACCCTCAACTGAATGCCACTTATTCAGAAAATCCCACCCCCCAAGAGTAAAAGAAATAAGTTTTGTAATTATATTTAGGGAAATCATTTTCTTTCTGCATTTTAAAAATTATATATACAATGTACAGCAGAAGTAATATGAAAATAAAGGACAGCGGAGCAAGCTACTGGGTACCTTTGCTGAATTCTTCTGAGTCTTGAAAACATCCCAAGAATTACAGGCTATAAAATTAAACTAGAAAGGGTTATCAGCACTTCTATCTAAGAAGGAAAGGTTCTCGAGATTTCAGTTGTGGTGTAGAGCCTTTTCTTGAACATCAGAGGTGATGTCTGCAATCTAGGTTTTCCCATGTGCAAAATCACAGTGACCCCTGCCCAGAATTCCATTCTCATGCTGTGTGCCAGAGGTGTGAGCCCCGGAGGCTGGGACCACACCCCTCCCAATTGCAGCATCATCTGCCTCCCCAGGCACAGTCACCCCCAAAAGAAAATTACATGACTTTCGTACATCAGAAAGTAGATGCTGGCAGTGCACTCGTTGGCAAGTGCTTGTAGCACGTTCTTCTCTGCCCAGATGGCGATCCACACCATCTAATCACTCCCGGAGACCGCAGGACAGCTTCCCTGCAGATTACTTACATATGTGCATAGATACTCTTCTTCTACATTTACCAATGTATAGTTATCCATAAAGGATAATTCCAAATACTGCTAGGAACACAGGGGCCGTCTGGGAGGGGCCAATGTTTGCTGGCCTGGTACTAATGTACCATGGGCAGCGGAGTCCAATAAATATTCGGAGGGGCCACCTTTGTACCCCATTTCTCTGCAGTGCCTTGACCGCTAGGGTCTCTGAGGGTTGCCTCAATGTCCATCTAAGTTGGCATCTGCCCCTTCCTCAGGCTTCCTCATTCAGTCATTTTACACTCTTTCCACATGGTTTGGGATTCCAGCTGAGCTCTGGGTAAAGGACAGGGAGGTGAGCCTGGGGGTGGAGTGGGGAAAGAGAGACCACACATTAGCTAGGGGGGTTCTGTTTCTTCCTAAGATAAGGCACTGACAGAAAATTTCTTAGGTAAAAGACTGAATAAGAATTTCTCGCCATTTACATAAAAATTGTTGTCATCCAACAACGGTCCGTTTCTAGGCTCAGTTAGGTACACCCCGAATAGTAAAGGGCTGACCCCTCGAAGCTACGTGATTACCAGAAACACACAGGACTCGTTCTGAGGCATATGGCACATCAGGAGAAGAGGAGGTGGACAGTCTGGGCACAGAAGGGCATCAGGCCTGGGTGTTCACTCCATGTGTCAAAGAAAGTATCATCAGACAGACAGTGCTGGCTCGGAATCCAAATCCTCTTGATGGCAGGTGACCAGGATGGGTGTATCTATCCCCCTCCTTTGCAGTTCACGCACAATTTAAGAAACGCTACCAGCAACAGCCTTAACGAGCAGAGACGTCCTCACCTCTGGCTATGCCTAAGGCTCCTGCGAGAGATGCCTACTTCATGTTCTCAATCACAGCGATCTCCTCGCCCGCACAGGGGGGCGTGAGTCCGTTCAGATAGATGCTCTCAGCCTTCAGCAGGGGTGGCAGCACTTCCCTCTCACTGGCCAGGTGGTTCACAGACAGGGTCCGCCGGCAAGGGGTCAGCTCCTGGTTGTGGTTCCCGGCCAGCTCGGCCGACAGCTTGCGCTTGATGGAGGTGGCCCGCTGGAACTTGTCGTAGATCTCCACGCTCAACCGCCTCCTGGTCTCCTTGAACTCGGCAGTGACGTTGGCCGTCCACTCGGCAGCGTGAGCCCGGAACTCCCCTACCTGGAGCAGACAAAGACACCAACAGGACAGTCGGCAACAGTGGAGTTCCCTTCAAATCCTCCCATCAGAGTGTTTTAAAGAGAGGGGCATAGGGACCTCCCTGGAGGCGCAAGGGGTTAAGACGCAGCACTAAGAAGGTATCCACAGCCTCTGCAACATGAGTTCGATCCCTGGCCAGGAAGCTACCCACATGGAGCAGCAGACCTCTTCTGTCTCCCGCTGCTCCCCTCAGCAGTGGATTTCAGTGGATCTGCCTGTTCTGCTCCCCACTCTGTCTCTGGTGAATCCTCTCACCTCCCTGCACCTCTGACCTGTACCCCAGCTCTTGTATGCATAAATAAATAAATCTTTAAAAAAAAGAGAGGGGCACAGCCCTCTGATTACTCAAGCACTGGGCACTGGCCTCAGCTGGTGTGCAGGCCAAGAGTCCACTTTGCACACTCAGCTGGAAGATTAACCTCTCAACGAAACTCTGGAACCAGATTGTGTCAGAGGCACCAGACGTGCCGATATTTTGTGCATGAATCTTTCCTAACTTATGTGTTTTTCAGTGTGGTGTGTTATATATAGACATACGTGTAACATAAAACTTGCATTTTAACCATTTTCAAGTACAATCCAATGGCCTTAAGTACACAGACAGAGCTGTGCGAGCCCCACCACCATCCATTTCTACAATTTTTTCATCACTGCATAAAAATTCAAGTCCCCACTTCCTACTCCGCCCCCACCCCTAGCCTCTGGTAACCTCGCATCTACTTGCTGTCTCTGCACTGGCCTGTTTTAGAGACTTCATGTCAGTAGAATCACACTCTATTCATCTTTTTTGCCTGACTCACGTCCCCTGGCCTGGTGTTTGAGGTTCACCCATGAATTCTGTTATTGGCATGAGGGCTGCTATAAAAGGCAACACAGACCATTTTAAAACATTGTGTTTTTTTTTTTTTTTTTCATTCTAACTAAGAAGCGCTCTGCTGCAGAAAAGGCAATAGAAGCAGCAAGACAGAGGGAAAGAGGCTGCATGTGAGCTCAGCACCTCCTGGCTGAGCTGCTTGGCTGCACCCTCCAGGCCAAGAGCCTGGCTTTACAGCATGGGTGGGGAAGAGCTGAGCGCCTGCCCCATCAGTCACTGAACAGCTGTAAAGTACGCTCCTTTCGGCTCTTGTCGAGATGACCCATAAATGAAGAGTCTAACAGATTAACAGGAGACCTCCAAATAGAGAGGCTGGTTCTCGTTTATTTACTCATTCAATAAATTGAGGGCCCAGTAAGTGTTAGGTATTGAGGAATAAGACAAACAGCGTGTTCCTCACAGGGCTTACATTCTAGTGGGGAAAATCATAATACACAAATAAGAAAATAAATAATCCAAATAATTGCAGGCTGTGATCAGAGCCATGAAGTAAAGAAAGATATATGAGAAGTAAGGGGGTGGACAGGTGACCTTAGCTAGGTTGGTCACAGACGGTCTCTCAGAGGACATGGACTTTAAGTGAATACCTCATAATTAAGAACAAAATCCATGTATGTTAGGGACAAATAAAAATCATTCCAGACAAACAACAGAAAGTTGCTTTTTTCTTTCCTCTTCTTCCTCTCCTTTTTCTTGTCCTTTTTCATTTTCTCTATAGAGGAACTAGCTGTTCATATTTGAGGGGTTTTCAACCATGTTTTTTTTTTTTTCCTTTAATAATAGATTCACAGACTAAGTGTTCTCATTTGTGAAAAGTAAAGTTAACTGGGCACACAAGGTGTTTTAGGCTGTCTTATCATAGAGATAAATATAAAGAAAGTAATTTTATAGGTAGATTCCATCATTTTGAATAAAGTTATCTATAGTCTACCTGGAGCATTTCCCAGTCTTTTTCATTACTTTCCCTTTAAACCTCTCATTATGAAAATCTTTATCTACATTTAAATTGCATTTATTAAACAATAATGAGTTTATTTTCACTCATTATTAATAAAATCCATCAATGCCAATCAGAGTTTCTGGTTGAATCATATCCCAAATAGAAGGGATCCAACTGAATGTAGGATTTAAATTATTCTCTACATTACAAAAGGTAAGCCATGGCTTTATCAAGCTTTTTAGTTATGCAGTAAACAGTTCAAGACATACTACAATTGAGAACCTTTAGAAGTCTGGAGTCCCTGAGGTAAGACCCTGGTTCTGGAGCACTAGAGTTCTAGAATTAAGCATCTAAAATTAATCTTATTTTGGCTTTTAATATTTCCTCAAGATGGTTTCTGTAAATGATTTTAGAAAATTCTTTTAAAAATATTCTGCATATCAGTTACCACAATAAACATTCAATTTTGGAATGTAAAAAAAAAAAAAAAGTACGCTCCTTTCGGGGGGACAGCCACGTGGTGTAAACTGGCAAATCCACCCGGAGGCCCATACAGACAAGGGTGAGTCCCACCAACAGTTTCTCTGTGGATGATGGTAGGTAAGGAGATGTCTCCACCTGTCTGAGCTGCCTGTTCCTCAGCTGCCGATACCTGCAGGATGCCTGTCTCCCTGCTGCAGGACCTACCTACATGCCACCTCATACTTCTCTCTGGAGGGTTAAAGCAACAAAAACTGCCAATTTTTTTTTCTAAGCACATGCTTATGTTTCCTCCTCCTCTGTGGAGTCCTGTCTGCGCTCTCATAACCTAAAGAGAGCAACGGCTCAACCCATAGGATGCTTGATTTATAATCCTCCTCTTACCCAACCAGAATTTAATCATCAAGAATGTTCTAGAATCATCTCACAAGCAGCATCACCCATTTTCTTCTCTCTAGCACTCTGCTTTCAGTTGAGAGATCCACTGAGTTCATTTCTTAGAGAACAAAAGTTTCTTTCTTCCCTGGCAAAGAAATACTGCAGTTCTGGATGTACTGAATTTTCCTATAATCTTTGTTGATTTCTGCTTCACCTTTGATATGGGAAATATAATTAATAGTCTCTGCTATGGCCTGAATGTTTGTTTCTTTCCCAGATTTATATGTTAAAATCCAAAGCCCTGAGGTAATGGTGTTAGGAGGGGGGTTTTTGGGGGTGATCAAGCTAAGAGGTAGAGAGGAATGGATGAGATTGGAATCCTTCTAGAAAGGACCAGGAGTTTCTGCCCCTCCCCCTCCACCACGGGAAGCAAGGAGGAGGATCAGACAATGGACCAGGACATGGGCCCGCACCCCATAGTGCTGGGGCCATGGGTCTGACTCTCTCTCTCTCCAGAACTAAGAGAGAGGATTGCCCGTTTGCTCTTCATCAGCCATCACCCAGCCTGTTCAATCTTGTCACAGCAGCCGGAGGCACTAAAACAGGCACTAAAATACTGCAGGCCTGAATGATAAAAGGGGGTTAGAGATCGACATCTACCTTAATCTGACATGTCCCTGGATTTGGACAGATCTGTGAGTGTGTGTGTGAGAATGTGTGACTATGAGGTTGTGAATGTGTGAGTATGTGTGTTTGTGAGTGTGTACATAGTGAGTGTGTGAGTGTAAGTGTATGGCTGTGTGAGGGGTGTGCAAGGCATATGAGGTGAGTGTGAATGTGTATATAGTGAGTATGAGTGTATTATTGAGTGTGTACATGTGGGTATATGAGGCATGTGTGGTGTGTGTGTGAGGTGTGTGATATGTACATAGTGTGTGAGTATAAGTCTGTGACTGTGAGTGTGTACATGTGGGCATGTGAGGCGTGTGCGGTATGTGTGTGTGTGCAGTGTGAGGTGTGTGTGATGTGTATATAGTGAATGTGTGAATATGGGTATATTCACCGTGTGAGTGTGTACGTGTGGGTGTGTGTGGTGTGTGAATGTGTGTGACGTGTGTGTGAGGTGTGAGTGTGTGGTACGTACATACACCCAGGGTGGAGACTCTGAGGGCACCCAGGAAGCTGGCTCAGGCGGATCAACTCTCCCACATCCATTCAGAATCATGCACACATTCATCTGATGTCACCCACCTTCACTTCAAAATCTTTTACTGTACTCGTATCATCCTTACAGGAATTAACTGCTGTTTATCTGGGTCTGCTTCTGAGAAACACAAAAGCTGGAGAATGTGGACTCTGGCACACACTTGGCCAGATCAGCCTTCCTAGTCCTGAGGCCATGCAGAGAGGCCCTTTCCATCCTTCCTGTCAGTGGCCCCCACCCTGCCTCCCAGCCAGGCCCCTGGCATCTCCTCCACAGCAAGATGGCCACGAGGTGCCTCTAGGGGTGACCATTCACAAGGATTTTTTTTTTTTGCTACTAAAAATAACACCTCAGTGAATACCCCCAGACCTATCTTTGCCAATATGCCCAAGAATTGCCAGAAGTGGAAACACTGGGTCAGAAGACAAGGACACTTGCCCAGCAGAATGTTAGAAGCAGTTTTCTCCTTATAAATGTCCTTTCACTGACATTTTATTACCACCTGTGCAGACTCCAACCCTGAGGAACCCCACAAGGAAGGGCTTCCTATCTAGATGTCAAAGTACAAAAATACCTTGAAGGAGTCTTTCATATTTTATGTTGTAAAGAAAACAGAAAACGTGTGTGAGTCTATTTCTGAATCATAACTCCACCTTGTTTAGGAAAGTATATTCATTATACTTTAAATTCCCGACACTTTACGACAACCCTGTGGGTGAGGAGGAATGCTTCCCTCCTCTGATTTTCTTGTGTTTAAGGATCTTCCTCCTATCAGTCTCTGCCCCGGGCTGATCTTCAATGTGGTAGTCATTTCTTAGTAACAGAAAATGTAACACAACCTAAACAGAATTTTCAGTGTGCTCAGCTTGAAAAATAACTAAGTTGTAGTTTATAAGTGCTTGGTTATATGACTCCCCCAAAAGGGCCAGTAGGATTTTCTCCACATCCCCAGAGAAGATGGCTCTATTCCCAAACGTGTCCTCTACATTTGTAAACTGGAGGTCAGCTGAAGCGGCTCTGGAGGCAGGAGAAGCTTCCTTCCTTGTCTATGTCCTCTGCCTTCCCTAACAGAAGAAATCAAGTCC